GAACCATTAATTTTTAGTGAAAAAAGCATAAAAATTGAGGTCTGGGACACACTAAGAAGGTGTCTGGTGGCTCGGCCGAGCTGCAAAGGTTGTATTTAGTGCCAGAGGTGACCACCCGACCATGCAACAGCCACCCCCACGGTTCAAGATGACATCAGGGGCATAAAAGTCTCAAAAAGGACAAAAACTCCGCTTTTTCGCATAAAACGTCCGGTAGGGAGTTGAAGTCGTTGTCCAATCGCAAAAACGAGGTCATTTCTGGAATCAGCACAAAAAAACGAAACTTTTTGGTGGTATCCAAAAGTCGAAATCGAAAGTGCTGCCAGATCGACGCCCCCTACTTTTTGCCCGCCTGCTCGTCGCTCTGTTATAAATTTAGACTCAATTTGGATCCCGAAAAAGTTTTTCGCCCGGCCCAAAGAGTGAGTTTTCTCGCGCCGCGCGCGCCGCGTAGCAGCGGGAAGAGAGAATTATCAGACGCGATTTTATTAAAACGGGACCAATTACTAAACTCGCCCCGCCGCCGTAACGAGCTCGGGGGAGGGGGGGGGGCAAAACTTTAACCGGCCGGGACGAATTGACCATTATACTTGAGGTATAAAATGATTTGGAATCGGTGGCGGATGAGAGAGAGATGGGAGAGGAAGGGGGGGCGTTGGGAAAGGGGGGGAGGGGACTTTCATTTACGAGTACGCGCCATCATCATGCAGCGTCCTCCATACTGTGCCATCACACGGAAAAAAATGATTGTCACAACTAATAAATTGGCTAATTTTGGGATAGACAAGAAAATTCGCTGTGGTAGCTAACAGTTGGTTGCCGCAGGCAAGAGTTAGTTGCCACAGCGAAGCTTTTTTTTTTTTTTTTTTTTTTGCAACTGACCCCTGTCTTTCACTACCAACTCTGAGGTGTCACAGCGAATATCTTGTCTGTCTTTTTTTTTTTTTTTTTGTTAGTTCTGAGGACTAATTCTTTTTTTTTTCCGTGGCTCAACACATATACTGTACACGTATATTTTTGATTAGGCTTATGGGCCAGTTTTTCCAAAAGAATCAGCCGCAGTCAGTTGTAATTATTTATTGCGACACTGTTAGCTCCGCGCAATCTGCCTCATGCGAGTAGATTTTCTCTGCCCGCTGTGCTGCGCGGGTCACGGCTCAACCCTTGTGCATTTTACTGGGTACAAACATGCAGAATTTCATACAGCCGTAAGTACACTCAAATTGTGTGCATAATTATGCACAAACTGTACATATAGTTATACATAAAAATTGTGCATGATATTATATACCTATGAATAAAATTCAGCACGTTTATGCACGATAAAATGCACGATAGGGTTTAGCGTGTGTGTGCCGTGCACGGTGAAACCGCTTACCTGACTTTCAGGTAACTTTTTTCCGGATTCAGGTAATTT